TAATCCCAGCTGCCTGATATTAATAAGTAAGGTATTTCTGTATTCCACAGCAATCCTCGTACCGGTGCTTTATGTCCACTAAGAACATTTATACATGCATCCTGGGTATAATCCCATATTCGAACAGTGCTGCAAATAAGAAGTGAAGGAAATTTACTGTAACATTAGACATCCTGCAAGACTTGCTCACACCACACCTCTCAGATATATTTTTTTCTCTAAAAAACCCTTAACTATCTGTGTAAAAGTCTGACCAGTTGCTGCAATATAAGAATTCTCCACAGTTCCAGGAGTTCTCGTGTCCACAGAAGCACCTGGCTCACCTCAAAGTTGAATATTTGCAGAAGTAGATCGCCAAATTCATGCATGCTGCTTTTCACACAAAAATGCACCACCCTACAATTGTATGTGAAGCTTTCATTTTATTGTTTTCCACTTCTAATCTCTTTACTACCTTTTTACTATTTTTTTCTTTTTTAGCCAATATATGGTGCATATTAACCTAGAAGACACTAATCTGAAACTGAACTTATTCACTAGTATGTGAGTGTAGCACTGCAGCTGAATATCCTGTAGCCCGCATCATAAAATGATAGAATAGCCCCTTATTCAGAATTTTAAATGAGGACAGAATCATTCTTTACACCAGGAAATACATACTGTACTACAGAGCTCTGATACTTAGACTGTGGGTCCTGACCCGAGAGTGGATCCCCTTTGCTCAATGTTGGGGTCCTGAACAATTTGGCAACACTAAAAGGTTTCTTAAGGCCATTCATTTACACAAATCTGTTAGCAACACCATGCAGTGTTTACAGTGGACTCTGCAGAAAATGCTTCTACTTTACAAAAAGGAAAATCAGCCTGTTTAGCAAGCCTCGCAAATGTTGATTTATGATAATTATCATTTGTTTTTTAAACTTATTTTATATACCTATATACTTGGGTATATAAACATTTCTTGGGCAAGAGTGGTTGTGAGTGGAAATGATTTAAGAAGCCTTGCTATAGAGGTCCAGATTTTTTATAAGGGTTGCATAAGTTAATTCAACAACATTAATTCAGGTTGCATTCTAGGCAATGTTAGATTATTTTGAAAGTTATTTAAACAGCAGCAGAAATAGTAGTAGTAGTAGTAGTAAAAACAAGTATAAGCCTTACAACACCTCAAATTTTTTACATTTCTTCTCTTGTTCCCTACAGATAAATCTATACAGTTGTAAAATCACTACAGAAGTCTCAGCAGTGGTGACTTCATCTCTATATAATTAAAAGATATACTTCCAGCTTTTCCTGGGACTTGAAGGAAAGGGAATAAAGATGGAGGTAGTACGTCTTTTTAAATATGTTGTGACCTGGTCAGATTCTGAGTGTTCAGAAGATGAGGCTGGGGATGCTGGGAAAGATTCAGAGGGCCCAGACAGAAATGTTTTGGAATTTCCTGGCAGAAATGTTTAGGAATTTTATGAAGGTTCCCAGGAGAACAGTTAAGGCCATTCCCAATTAAGGACACACTTCTCCAAGCAGCTCAGAGATAAGGGGAGCAGCCGCAAAAGAAATGATTTCATGGGAGAATTTTATTTTATTTTATTTTATTGCTTTTAAAAGTGGTTCATGTTGATGCAACGGTTGTGAGAGCAACACTGCATTTAGATATAGACCTCTTGGTGTCAAGATCTGTGAAATTCATGTAACCAAGTGTCAAGCTGTTCCTGTGTTCTGATCTTGCAATGCATAGTTTTGCCTGCCTGGAATTTATGTACTTTTTCTTTGAATGGCAAAGTTTTGCCGGTTTATGTACCTTGTTCCTTGTTGTTATGTACCTTGTTCTTGCATTTATAGCTGGAATTATCTTAGAGACTTGCTCTGAAGAGATTTTTGGGACTTTCGGTTTTTATGAACATAACCAGGTGAACTTTGATTCCTTTTTTATATTTGCTTGCTTTTCATATATCCAGCTTTTATGATACTCTGCTTTTAATAAACTCTTACATTGGATTATCTGGACAGTGTGTGGTTTTTTGGTGAAAAGAGGCTTCAGAGCTCTAGTGCACAAAATAAAACTGTACAGCGATTGCTTTACGGCTGCATTTTTATGAATTAATCAAACCTTTGACTGATCACAGTACACAGATGGGAGGCAACTGACTCCCAAGAAAGCCACAGTTATAGTGATGAATCAAGTGGTTGTTGAGCAGATCTAGATTTAGCTAATGATTAATATTTCCCTGCAAGGTCCAACATGCTACTTTCCACCATCATCCCACTAATTACAAAACCAATTTCTAAGCACAAGAGCTTAAGAGACATCAGCAATACAGGGCTTCTCAGAACATAAGAGCAAGGATTATTCTAAGAAGACCAATCCTTCACTTTATTTTAAGAACATGTTTTGCAGGAAAAACTGGATATAAAATTGAATAATCATATTTTGAATGTTAGTCAAATATTATTTTAAAAATTGAACAGCATTAACATCAAGTACCATCCATCCACTACTGAATTAAAGGTTTTATAGTCATGGATAAAAACTAAAGGTTTATATTTCACACACCACCACAATTTCAGCCCAGAATTCTCACCCATCATCAGAACCACTGCAGAGGATACCTTCCCTCAGAGGAGACCATCTTACATGAAACACTTTTGCAGTATGACCACTGAATACTTTCAGAGGCTGATCAGAGCTGGTTGCTAGATAATAGACACGGACATTTTTATCTTCACATCCAGTAGCTATCATGTCTCTGCAAAAAGAAAGACAATCGGTTGTAGAAATCATTATAATTTAGTGTTTTAATAACTCTAGAATTAGACAAAAATGGAATATTTTGAAAACTTTGCATTTCTTTCTTTATTTCAAATATTCAATTTAACTATTGCTTTGTTACTGTTCTTGAATTAGATACATCTCTACTGTTACCTCTAATGGACAAAAGCTTCATCCAATCAGCAAAGTAGAGGGGGAAGGTGAGACTGTGCAGTACTTTGGCCTTTCTCATCCATCTTTCTACAACCAGGAAAAGTTCCTTTTTTCAAACAAATTCCTTCTAGAATTCCCCTGTGGTATAGGATACCATAGTGATGAGAATCTGAAAACTGTGGTTCAAAAAAGCAACTTTCCCAACCTCTGCATCTTTCTATTTATTTTAAAATACTTATTCAGACAAACCTATGGCTCTTTCCATGAGAGAAGAAGGGCCCAAAAATTCATTTACACAAAACCTCTACTGTTATATCAACTCCTGTGTGTTTAAGTGATGCACTACTACCTGGTCTAAAAGGAGCCGTGGTGGTGCAATGGGTTAAAACTCTTGTGCCAACTGAACTGCTGACCTAAAGGTCAGCAGTTTGAATCCATGAGACGGTGTGAGTTCCTGTTTGTCAGCCCCAGTTTCCCATGTGGGGACATGAGAGAAGCCTCCCACGGGATGGTAACACATCCGGGCGTTCCCTGGGCAATGTCACCAGATGGCCGATTCTCTCACAGCAGAAGCGACTTGCAGTTTCTCAAGCCACTTCTGACATAGATTTTTAAAAAAACAACCTCTTCTAAAGTTATACTGCACTTTATTTTACCACTCAATTCCCATTTTACATGTGCTAGGTGCATTGCCTAATAAGAGGAGCCTGTGCATAAATAATGTCAGAAGATCTTTGATACAGTAAGGGTCCCTATTCTATATCCTTTCTAATGATCCTTTAAGAATATTTGTTTGGCTCAGATTTCTGCACTTCAGAAATTTTATTTTAATTGCTGAACATTTGTCTGGCACAATGTTTCGGGCACAATGTTTCAACTGGAAATAAAAATGCAGTCTATGAAAAATTACTTGCTTTTAATACGGATGCACAAATAAAATGTATCAATATAGGAATACCCAAATAGGACCTTTCAGTCTCCCAGAGTTCTGTTGTATAATCTGTACAAAACTAAATGTATAATGAAGACATTCTGCAAAATTCTTACTTGCACACTAGCAAACAATTTTCTGAAATTGCAGCAACTTGCTATGTCACAGTGATTGCTCTTCTAAATAATAGCATAAAAATAATCCCACAGACCTACTGTTTTTGCCATTATGAGTTTTGAAATCCCAGCTCATCGTAACATATTAGGACAAAAAAATCCATGCTGTTTCCCATGAAGCATTATGCAGCAATGGGGAATTGATATGCTCTGGTTGCTCCATTTAAATGAACTCTTGTTATTTTTATTGGAGGCAGGAAATAAAAGCTGACKATTAAAAAGGCTWCCTCAAATTGTTTTCTTTTATTCTGCAACTATAGACAGACTTGTGCAAACAAAAGSGAACAAAAAGTCAATGTCTCTTTTCTCTTATAAAACAAACTTTTTTGTTTGTTATAATGATAAAAAAGAGGTTTCAAAAGGAAAGGTCATCTTTGTGTTTGCTAAAGAAGTAAGRAAAGTTCCATGGCTCTTCTCTCACAACAGCTATGTTCAACTGTGCAAGCTAAAGGAAAAATATTAACGATAAAGATTTGGGGGGGGGGGGAGAGAAAGGGACAAAAATGGGTAGAAATAGGAGGTCAAAGTTTGGCACCAAAGAATATTCATTAAGGCCCTTTCTACACTGCCATGATTATCCAGATTATCAAAGCAGATCATCCACATTGGAGAACTTTATACTGCAAAGCGGTTTTGATGGGCATAACTGTGCCATCTCTAGGCTGGCTCAATCTAGAACAAATTTTAATAAACTCATGATGTTACTGAACTACTGTGTTTCCTTGAAAATAAGACATACTCATAAAATAAGCTATAGCAGGAGTTCTAAGCTTTTACACAATATAAGCCATACCCTGAAAATAAAACATAGTGATACAAGCTGAGGTATAGAGGGAGACACAGAAAGTGAAATCGAAGAGCTTTCCGCAGCGGAGGCAACTCTGGGCCTCCCTCTCACTCATTTCCTGCCTCCTCCTCCTTCTTTTTCTCCTTCTGTTTTCTTCCCTTGCCAGGCAAGGCAAGGCAAGGTTTCTTCCCAGAGTGAGCAAAAGAGTGAAAAGAGTGAGTGAGTCACCGACTCCAACAGGGCCACGGTTGGCGGCACTGCTTCCCTTTGGCCCGTTCCCTCGGGAAGTCTCCTCAGTGAAGTCAAGAGCAGGACGCACTACTTTAACTATTGTGTGTCCTCAGGGGAAAGAAGTAAAGCTGTGGCTGCTGTTTTACTCAGCACTGAATAAATTTGAATAAATGCAGATTATTGTACCATACTTAATAAAAAATAAGACATCCCCTGAAAATAAGCCATAGTGTGTCTTCTTGAGGAAAAATAAATATAACATAGTTCTTATTTTTGGGGAAACACAGTAGATCACAGCAGCAATGACATTCCACTCGTATTAGAACAAGCTTGTTTTATAATGTAGTATTTGAAATTATGAGATAAATAATAGGAGAAAGTTTATAGAAAAGTAACTTACTTGTTGTTTTGACTCCAATCACAGCCAAAAACTGCAGCTGGATGTTTGTACTTGTGAAGAACTTTGCCATCAATGGTTCGAATAATACTGAAAGAATGGCAATAAAGAAATAAAAATTAGAAACTTGTATATGTTTTATGTAAAAAACATTTCAGATATGTTATTTAATTATACTTTTTGAAAAACAAAACAAACAAAACGTTTTTGGCAAATGTTGAGGTTGTCTCTAAATGATCACTCACCAGAATCCATCCCCACTACAGGTTGCTATCCTTTTGGAATCTTTATGGCTCCATGCAATGCAGAAGATTCCATTCTTTCCATGCTTCAAAAAATGTAAAATGCCTATCAATAAGAAATAATTCACTCCTTTTTTTCTTATTTATAAATTTGGTTATGATCTTCCTTTTTTTCCTAAAAAAATTTCCTAGCATTTTCCAGAGCCTTTGAATGTAGATTGCATATATCCCTCCCAGAATGCATTCCGTCACGATAAAAAGCAGATTGCCACAAAATACACAGACTGGCACTGGTTACAGAAGAAAGAAACCAGAATATTAAATAGCAGTTTATCAAAAGCACAAAAATGTGATTGGTAGGATCCATGGGCCGCATGCATTTCGTGGAATGGATTATATCCATCCTTGCTTTCACACATACACAAAGTTTCTCCATTTAGCTTGATATCAACTATAGTTCAGTAGTTAGATGTTTAAGTTCCCATAATAAAGCATCACTCTGACTAACACGAAGAAGTATTATAGGGCGTTTTTAACTCATGTTTTTAAAACTTGAAAAGCAAGTTTTATTTTACCTCACTGAAACGGGTGATCATTTTGCCCCGTGAAACATCCCAGATGAAAGCACCATTTCTGGAAGTTGCCCCAGCTATGCAGTTCAAGTCTCCTTTAAGGAAGAAATAATCAAGTAAACAGTGGTAGAAGATTGTACATCTAACATCCATTCTTCCATCTAAAACCACACTTTCCTGAATCAAAATGCCACTATTCTCCCAAACTACATGCTTTACATTCTCTCAACTAGAAAAAGAATGTGATTTCTTCATAGTTTTTTTTCCTATAGGAGTTATAGCATATTAAAAAAAACCTTCTGCTTGTCAAATGTATAGTTTCAACATTTTAATATTGTCAAAATGGAATACTATAAACTGTTATTTTGTTTCACTGGTGTGTTCTCAATGTTTTCTTCCATTCTCTTATACCCCCAATTCACAGATTTGAACCTGAAAGTTTCCCTTTCAACAGAAAGTCATCTACACTGGTTCATCATTTGTATCTTTTTCCCAATGTGCCGCCCAAGGTTGATGCACTGCCCAGACAGCTCTGCACTTGCAAATCCTCTGCCCTCCACAATTTCCCATTGCACCCTAAAATATCCAACAGCAACCATTTTGGAAGGCCAACTTCACATTGCAAAATCATTTCCAGGCCTTCAAAACAATGCCTCAAGGTAACAAGTATACCTAAAGAAAAAGCTATTTGGAATGTGATGGTTTACTTTCTAATATTCCATTCAGAAGGAAATCAAAGGAAAAGAAAGGAAAGAGGACCCAGCTGGTATATCTGCCTGGTAAGCCTCAACAATAAATAAAAGAGAGGAAGAGACAGAAAGATAAAAGAAAGAGATAAAAATGGAAGGATGGGGTGAAAGAGAAATTGGGAGACTGATCTTGAGTGTATGTGTCAGTGGGATAATATGGTCCAGAGAGAGAAAGTGAGAAAGAAAAAAAGACTAGCAATTGAAGTTGGTTGATTGGCAAAGGACTGATAATTAACTGGTTAAGAACTGAGCTCGGTAATGAATGTTGGGAAATCATGTCCTATTAATTTGTGGAAATACATAATTTCTTTTTGCCTTGTGTGGCAATGTTTTGTGGAGAAATGAAGTGCCAAATTACAGCCTCGGGCAGCTAAATTACATTTTAAAATTGATGTACTATGAAGTGTCGCCACTGCCACACACTAACTGAGATTGGTAAGATAACTAACATCTATTAAGTAAACCTAAAATGCTACATCTCTCAAAAATCTTAACAGAGAAGAACTATCTATATCCATATGTATCTCTATATCTATAAACCAGGCCTGCAAAATTTGTAGCCCTCCAGGTGTTTTGGACTTCAGTTCCCAGAATTCTTGATCACTCAACAAGCTGGCTAGGTCTTTGGGAGTTCCAAACACCTGGAGGGCCACAGGTTGTGCAGGTCTGATGCAGATATAGGCTATTCAGAAATGGATGAAAAAAATCTTACCTGGAGCCCATGAAACTGAATATATTACCCCTTCATTGCCAGGAGAAGTGTAGACAGCTGTTAAAGTATTTATATCCCACACCTTTATTGTTCCATCAAATGATGCTGTGGCTAGAAGGTCAGGGTTATCAGGTTTGAATTTACAATCAAAGATGGTTTCAACATGACCCTAGAACAAAGGTAAGCCCCATTGTAAAAAAACTATTTTACAAATTATATTCATTAATTGGAAAGCTTATCCATTGATATTTCCACCATAGTTTCTTATATCCTAGAAGAGACAAATACTAAAACAAAGGGATAATTACTGATTTTCCAGTATTTATATTACTGTTCCCCAAAGTACAACTTAATGGTCTAGGGCAGTAGTTCTCAACCTGTGGGTCTTCAGATGTTTTGTCCTCCAACTCCCAGAAATCCTAACAGCTGGTAAACTGACTGGGATTTCTGGGAGTTGGAGGCCAAAACACCTAGAGGCCCACAGGTTAAGAACCACTGGTCTAGGGGCTTCCGAAGTATTTAGGGTTTTAAAATAAAAGTATATTGTATTTGGATAGGTAGCCAATGCAATTTACTATTGAAGTAATATTGTTCCAATATTTATACTAGTCAGACTTAGCTAAATTTAAAATAATCATTCTAGCCAACCATATACATATACATATATATATATATATAGTGAGCAAGATATGTGTTAACTATAGTCAAGACACAATAATGTATGGTTCAGTACAAATGAAACTGAACATTAAAATAACAGGGAAATATGTTTTTTGAAAAATCAGATAAGGATAAAAAAAACCATTCTAAAAGTTGCAGTGTTCAGCTTGACATTTCTTATTTCATCTCCAGCTATAACTGGAAATACTTCAAAAGCACCCATTGCTTGAAACAAGAGTTTATTGAGTCACCATCACTTTTATTGGGTTGTCACAAATGATAAAAACATTTAATATGATTATTTGTGTCTCCACCATAAGCCCAACAATAATGAAAAACAAATCTCTAATATTCCTAAAATTAATCCTGTATATTTTCTTTGGTATGTCAACACCTGTCAGATGTCAACAGTCACTGTCAGAACTGTGTCTGGCCAAATGCTTTCTTTGGCACAATGTACTGCCAACTTAAATGCCTGTCTGAACAAAAGCCAATATAGACTGAAATGAATGAAGAACAAGGACCTTGCATGCTACAAGAAGCTTGACAACGTCTTGAATCTAGAACAACTGGATAGAGCACACTTTTCTGGAGCTTATTATGCCTCATTTAGAATCTTCCAAGGTTTTTAGTAGGATAATCACTCAGTTCTTTATACTCAAATGTGGATTCACTTACATGTATCATGGTCTTGTGCTTTAGAGTCTTGCACCCCAACAAAGCTCTGGGGTAGGCACAGGTTTACACCTTCTAATATAAAACACTGTCCACAAAGTATAGGTGAGAGACCTGGTATAGTTTGTTGTTTAGTTTGGGGTAGTCAGCTTTCGCTTTGAAATACTACTATTAGCATGTCTGGACTCCTCAAAAGCAGAACAGTTTTTGAGGAAATGCAATAAAGAGTTTACAGAAGAAGATGGAAAAGAGGAGGCCCAACAACAGAGAAGAAGATATCAGATGCTGCAAGGGGTGACAGCAAAGAAGCAGAAACATCAAAAGGAACAAGGTGGCAAAGAGGCAGAAACAAAAGAGGCCACAGAAGAGGAAAAGGGAGAAGAGGAGGAGGAGGAAAAGGAGGAGAAGGAGATGGAGAAAGGGGCAGCTCTGTAACTGAGTGAGGAGGGGAGGGACATGTACAGGGATCATTTGATTTTGTGAGGTTGAGGAGTAGGGAGGTGAGAGGGTAAAGATTAATTGGCTAAATAAATGTCAAATAACCTAAAATATGTCTCTTAATGTTAATGGAATGAAGAACAGGTTGAAATGAAAGAATGGTTTTCATTATTTGTATAAAATGAAGTTGGATATACCATGTTTTCAGGAATAAGACTTACTAGACAAAGATAAGGATATCTTGAAGCAAGAAAAAAATAGGTAAGCTATTTATGACTTGCAATTATAAGAAAACTAATGGGGTACTGTTTTATATAGAAAAAACTCTAGACCTGGGAAAAATGAAGTTTAAGAGGGTAGGATATTAATAGAGTGAAACTGCATTATAAACAGATTTTATTAATAGGATCAGCTGTTTGAATTTACTTTGCTGCAGCATCATTTTGCAGAATGTTCAAATTATGATCAACTTGAATCTCAAGGTCTTTTTTGCATGTAGTACTGCTGAGCCATACCTTCTTCTTAAGCTATTTTTTTATTCAAAAGTATTTTTTGCAGTTATTTTGAAAACTACTTGTATTTTCTCAATTATTTTAGTGGATTACTATCTTAAGGCTGTTTACAAAACTTGTAACTTTCCACCATGAGGTGATTTACATCATCTCCTGGGATGAATGCAGGTGGAGAATACAGTGCATCCTGTAGCATGGAACAGCAACAACCACCTGGGAATCATTCCTACTTGATTATTGTAGAAACTGAAACTGTAAATTATTTTTCCTATAGAAACGTGTCTAATCATGACTAAGATCACACACAATATTTTGCATATGCATACAACCACAGTACAGAAACATTTCTGGATGATTTTAAATATGTGAACTGAACTTTCGTCAACATATCAAAAACCAGCAAACTTACCAGATCCCTAAGAAAATCCCATTTTTTGGCTCCCATGTCATAAAGTCCTACTCCACCATCCATAAAACAACACACCACATGTCCCGGGGGTAGAGAAAATGCTTGGTTTTGAGTAAGAGATGGGGGTGGAACAGCTTCGCTTGTTGATGACATGTGATGATTTTTAGAAGGTGAAGAAAATGCTGAATTAAAAGATAAAAAATATTAGCATCACTTTTATATTTTCCATTTTTTTAAAAAACAGCGGTATTATTGACCATCTGTCCCTGATACCTAGAAGGTTACACTATGTAATTAATAACAAATTTGTCACTTGAATTACAGCTTGATATAACGATAAATGCTATTACAAAAATGTTAACCTATGCCAATGATGGACATCCTTTTGAGCTTGATGTGTCAAAATTTGCCAAAAACCTGAGCATAACTTGAGTAGAGTGTCACTTCGAGAAAAAACCCATAATTTTGCAATATTTATAGTTTAAATAAGAAAATTTAAGGATGGAATTAGATTGGCTCTTATAAGGTGTACTTCTCTGTATGTGGCCGCATGTGTCTGCGTGTCATCAAAAATAGCCATGCGTGTCACTGCTGACACGCGTGTCATAGGTTCACCATCATGGACCTATGCTAAGAATTGTTGCAAGGTGTCTATCTTAGAGTTTCAATTTAACAATTTTGTATGTTTAATAACTGTTTTAAAATAGCTATGTCTTAGGGTGCATCTACACTGTAACATTAATGCAGTTTGACATCACTTTAACTACCATGGCTCAAGGTTGTGGAATTTTTGGAGTTGTAGTCTGGCGAGGCACCAGTATTCTTCGACAGTTGTAAAACTACAACTCTCATGATTCCATAACATTCTATAGCATAGGTGTACAGTGCATATGCATTCTTCTATGGATTCTTCATACCTCTATTTGTACCAAGAACATTTTTTTGGATATTATTAATAAAACAACATTTTTCCATACTCAAGTTGGTAATGCATGCTCTTGCTTTTTTCATTAAGTACGAAGAAAAAAAAGTTAGATAAATTAATTTTTGCTTCATAGTCAAAATTATATTTAGCAATCCAGGGCCACCAATGAGTTGTAAATAGGTCTGAAAATAAATGAACAGCAAAAATGAGCTGAGAGAATATGTTCATTGCTAATTATATTATGGGATATGGCCTCTGAACTGAGCAAAATATAACACTGCAAAGATGCCTGCCTTTCCTAGCTGTTCTTCCAGAACATTTGCATTTGGTCAGGCAATTAGTAGTCCTCTAGGAACAGTTGAGAGTGAAAAACTCATCATCCCTCATTAATTTCCTTGAGTTGGTGGAAGTTACAGTCCAACAACATCTGGTGGACTAGAAATTAGAAGCTGGAAACAAGTGGGGTGGAGGAGCTATTACAACAGAGAACTGAGTATGAATCCTAAGACTTTGGAAACAAACACTGGCTGGAAACCAATGCTGACCAAGTGGAGATTAGAAGGGATCAAGGTTGTAACGGTGGGAATAATGAGAAGAGACAAACTCATTAGCAAATTCCAATAGTCAGCAGTGGATGGAAGTAAGGTTAAACTACAGTCAACAAACTGGTTGCAAGTGTATTATTTTGAAAGAGATGTAAATGTCTCTTCTTGAAATACAAACATTCACTTCTAAGAGGCAATTTTTAACTCAGACTATAGAAGGAAAATAAAGCCTCACTCTTTTCTCCTATTCCTCAGTGTATTAAGGTCATCAGACACCTAACCACATTCTTGCAATTATTTCATGTCTAGTTTGGCACACAGCCCTTCCACTAACTAATCTTTGTAAGTCTTCAAACAAACAACAAATAGGGTTGGTAAAAGTATCTTCCAAGATTTTAGCTAGGAGGAGCAGAATGTTGGGTTGCTCCTTTTGCAAAGCTAGAAGGGATTCAGTTATGGACTTTTAAAACTCTGCAAGACAGTATATAAAGAACCACATTTTAAAAACATCTATTTTATGAGAATCTTTGATTTATTCCAATAATACTAGGAAGGAATCTTTGTCTCCTACGGACCATACAGCTATTCACTGATCCATATCCTGTTGAAGATATAACAATGTACAAGTGCAGAACTCAAGTGAGGCATTCATGCAGTTTATTTATTTATCATATCATAAGTGATTCATGCAATGATTAGATACATATTTTCTAGGCAGGGATTAAAAATCAAAATCAAACACTTACATTTTTTCTTTGGAGGAGAACTAAGAACATGTAAACCATGGAAACCAGTTTTCTTCAGTTTAAAATTATCTATTGGTGTTGTTCGTGATACATTCCAAACACGCAAGACACCCACTTGAGAATCTGTATTATAAAGGACAAAATCCATTTCTGATTGAAGTCCATAATCCAATAATTTGAACAACTAGTGATATCCTTAATTGTTTTGGAGATCTTTGTATTAACAGTTATTCATACTTTTTATAGATAAAAAAGTGCTAGAGAGATGGACACGGACCATCTCTTTAGCAGTTACTTTTTCTTCAAACAAAGCAGAAGAGGAGTGTATGTTGACTTTCATAAAGTGTTACAGATGAAGACAAAAATTTCCATGCTGTGAGATTTGTTCCACAACTAACACCATAAATACATACTTCCAAACTGAACTCATAGAGTTCATGAGCATGTTTTCATATCAGATTGGAACTCCCTATTATGCACCAAATGAGTCACCAGACTTTCTAGAGCAGACACGGGCAAACTAAGGCCTGGGGTCCGGATGCTGCGCCCTGGGCGCTTACCTTGGGCCCTTCACATTTTCCCTGTCTTCTCAGCATAAAGGCATGGTGGCCCACCATATCCTTATGCAGAAAGGACGTGGGAGGAAGGCACACAGCAGCTGAGAGCCCTCTGGAGCACTCTCAGCCACTGCATGTCTTGTCCTCCTTCTGGCATTTATTTATTTATATCATTTTTACCCCGCCCATATCAGCCCAAAGGCAACTCAGGGCAGCGAACAATTGGCACAATTCGATGCCATATATAAAATACATACATCAATAAAAATAAAACATCACATTACACTATATCTGAAAACATAACACCAGTAAACAATAAAAAAATTAAAACTATGTTGTCATATTCAGTCCTCATTCGTTCCATTGTCTTGGCTGTTCCTAGGTCGTTTTCTAATTCAGGTTTATCTGATTAAGCTGAGGCTCCAAAAACTTGCTTGACGAGCCAAGTTTTCAGTTTTTTTCGAAAGCTTAGGAGGGAGGGGGCAGATCGTCTTTATGCTAAGAGGACAGCCCGAGGAAAACACACAGCGGCTGAGAGCTCTCTGGAGTGCTCTTGGCCATCACCTGTCTCGCCCTCCTCCCAGCATAATGCCAAGAGGACAGCCTGAAGATCAGGGGAGGAGGAGGAGGAGGATCAGGGCAGTTGCTGCATGTTTCATTTTCCTCCCTGCATAAGGATGGAACAAGCAGTCCCATTCTTATGCCAGGAGGACAACCTGGGAATGATCTGTCCGCTGCCCCGCCCCCTCCTGGCCTCACCCTCTCACAGGCCCTCTCCCATCTTGCCTGCCCCAAGGCAAAAAAGTTTCCCCATGACTGTTCTAGAGCCATGCAAAGAAAAGACAGATACAACTTTCACAGCATGATTATGCTATCAAACTATATTCATTCCTCTTAAAATATTATGACTGTCATTACGTTTAATTAACTAATCATCCATATCATAATAAAGTCAACTGCAGACAAACTGATTATTACTGCTATGGATTGCACCCTCGGTATTTGAGGAACTAAAGATGATAATGCTGGTAACCTCAAGGCTGAACCACTGCAGTGTGCTGTACATCGGGTTGCCTCTGTACTAAGTTCAGAAATTCTAATTAGTTCAAAACATGCAAGCCACATTGGTAACCTAAACATCTAGGAGTGAGAGTATTGCATCCATGTTAAAGCCACTCCACTGGTTGCCAATTAGTTTCCAGGCAAATCACAGTGTTGGTTTTGAAGTTTAAAGCCCTACTTGGTTTGGGTCCAGGTTACCTACAGGACCATCTTCTCCTGCAAAATCCACTCTTTAGGACACTTAGGACCTCTGGGGGACGCTTACACCGACCAGTCAGAATATGACCGGTGGCCATCACCCAGAGGGCCTTTTTATCAGCCACCCCAAGACTGTAGAATGACCTGCCGGAAGAGCTCTGACAGCTAGATCAGCTGTTAGAATTTAAAACACAACTGAAGACCCATCTCTTCCGGTAGGCCTTCCCCGTCAACTTTCAATCATGAATGTTGAATTACCTTCTATTGCTACTATATGTCAACTCTGTATGTGTTTAGTGAAAGTTTTTTTTACATTTCTGTGTTTTTATCTGTGTAATTTATTGTATATATTTTATGTTTATATGTTTTGAATTTGTTGCACTCTGCCTCGAGCCACCAGGAGAGGTGGATAATGAATAAAATGTATTATTGTTATTGTTATTATTATTCACTTATTTTACTGTTTTACAAACCAATGTGTGGAAATGTGTTGATTTTACCTCCAGTGATAAACATTCCAGGAGCACTAGGAACCCATGCTAAACAGTGCACAGATGCTGCTGAAGTAGGAAAACTAAAGGTTGTGATACAGGAGAGAGAGTCGGAATCAACGAGACGGATGCCATTGTGCAAATTTGCAGCAAGAAGATAATCAGTTGACAGAGGATCCCATTCCAGAGCAGTCACTGGGTCTTCTTCATCTGTCCCTTCAAGCGATTCTGGCCTAAGAACATGTTTCTGGTTCTTGGAACCTTGGAAGATAAAAATATAACTTAAACAAAAAAATGCTGGCACTGCAGGATAAACATACAGTCAACCCTCACATTCACAGAAACTAAAGATATGAGACCACCACAAAAACAGAAAACCCATGAATAAAAATGCAACATTGTTTTATTTTTCCTGACTGGACACCTGTATAGGAACCTCTAGGTCTTTCTGTAGAACTCTGTGGTCAACCTCTTACAGAAAGGCATTTGTTCTAGGAATCTTTAGGTCCTCCAGCATAATTCCAATGCTCAATATCCAGCAGACATTCGTTCTGTGGTCAGCTTTAAAAAGGAATTTTATCTATCATCACTTACATCCCCCTCCCCCCCCCCCGCCCCCGGTTTGGGATACCTTTGTTGTGCCATTATTAGTATACAGAAAGCTCTCATTAGTTCAAAATGAATTGAATACAATAAGCAAAGTGCTGGAATATCAACAATTAAAAACATTTCATAATTGTGCTAATTACTCAACAATGACTCAAGGTAAAATTACAGTATTGAAGATGATTAATTGTTCTTTGGTGCTCAAATCAACGCTCTGTAGTGTTAGGATGAGGAAGACAAGGAACATCCACTATGATGTCCTATTAATTACATGTGTAAAATTTAAAATACAGACTCGATGCCAATATCAACAAATACAATATTTTTATCTTTAGTATTTTATTCTATTTGTTCTGCTTTGGGGGAGGGAGGTGGCATTTTTATATGCTTCTAATGGTTTGTTGTAAAGTCAATGACAATGACATAATTAGGATTAATCCTATCACAGAAACACCACTACACCCTCATGTCCATCAGGTACATACTGCACTGACACATACAAATGCTCACATATTGACACTAAACAGGGACTAATCCAACCAATCAGTTTTAGTAGAAACTTATTTATATAAGCAAATCTGTGGAAATCACAAGTAGTTTGTAGCTAGCATGCAAAATTGTAATAGTGACTCTTGTTCCAACCAGACTGCCCAAAATGTAGTTTTATGACTGATTTCGTATTTCATGGAACGTATTTTACCTTTCAAATAGAAAATAAAACATGAAAGTGAATGTATATGTGGATTACATTGTTTTTAGTCAGTGTAATTTATTACAAATGATTACATTCTTTCTTAGACTGTCCTCAGTGAGTGTACACAATGTCAGGAATACTTTTTACAAGTTTTGATATTAATTAAGCTTTTTATTGTGTTAAAGCAACTCTGTACTGCACAGATTTTCTATGAGTAATATGTGAATAAGAATGTTAATGAACAACAAAGACTCATGTCTCTCAAAATAACGAATCCCTTCCTTCCATAGAGTATTGGATGTCTTCAAAGATATATCCTTACCTGGCTGAAAAATTGAAAGACTTCCATCAGTGTGTCCAAACACTACCTTCCCCTTCTTTTTTGGATGCCATCGAAACAGACAGATGTCTGATAAAAAACTATGAGCATCTTTATGTACAGTTACACCACTGTCAGGTCCTGAAATTGCCCAGATGTACAATGGACCTCTATGGGAGACAAATGCAATAGTATCGCCTGCATTCCAACACCAGCTAAGAAAGGCAGGAACACCTGGAACATAAAGAGCAATCTAAAAATCTAAAAGTCATTTGCTGCCTTATTCTCAGGGCCGAAGTGATGAACATATGAAATAGATAGCTTATTAATTGTTTTCTCCCCGGTCTACATATTGAGATTTAACACTAAGAATTAAGTGGCGATAGTATGTCTTTATATTGTATAATTCACCCTACAAATAAAAATTCCAAATAAACTGAAATTTTAAAAAACCAAGGAATAATTGTGTGTAATCTAGGTCCCTTCTACACTGTCCTTATATCCCAGGATCTGATCCCAGATGATATGGCAGTGGAGATTCATATAATCCAGTTAAAAGCAGATAACCTGGGATCAGATCCTGGGATATAAGGACAGCATGGAAGGGGACCTATTTTTTTTCCTTAGAATGAATATCTACACCATGATGATAAAATGATGTTTGAGTATCTATCCCTTACATATATTTGCATACACTATGAAAACATTTTGAGTTGATGCTTTTGAATAAAAACATATGTAAAGACTGCCCAAACAGAGGCAAGGAAGTAATATATCACAGAAGAAGAAATATATCACTATCACAGAAGAAAGTAAAATGTAAAGGTTTTCCCCTGACATTAAGTCTAGTCATGTCCGACTCTGGGGGTTAGTGCTCATCTCCATTTCTAAGACGAAGAGCCGGCGCTGTCTGCAGACACCTCCAAGGTCATGTGGCCGGCATGACTCCATGGAGCGCTATTACCTTCCCACCGGAGTGCTACCTATTGATCTACTCACATTTGCATGTTTACGAACTGCTAGGTTGGCAGAAGCTGGGGCTAACCTGTGACCTTTTGATCAGCAAGCTCAGCAGCTCAGCGGTTTAACCCACTGCGCCACTCGGGGCTCCTCACAGAAGGAAATACATCAAAATATAATAAAATGAACATTTGTGTAAGAATTGCAATAGATACTTTCAAATCAGGTAAAATAAATCAAAACAAAAAATTGAAATTTCAAATTTTGTCTAGGAAACTCACCAAAATAAAATAAATCATGATAATATATTACCCAAGGAAAAAAGAAGGGGAAAGTACTGCCCTTTCGCTACACTGAGGAATCAAAAAATATATAGGTTATTATTTCAGCCTGAGAATAATATAATAGTATTTCATCCTGAGTATGGAGCCAAAGGTGCCCTTCTGCTTATGAAAGAACTCCCTTCCATTTGCTGGGTGTTTATGTGAACAGAAAGAGTTTTATCATTTCCTTCTCTGCAGATCCCTTCCCACTTTTTAAAGGTTCTCTGAAGCAAATTTGAAAGAATACACATCAACTTAGAATAATACAAGGAATAATAATTGGAAAAATAAACTATTTCTTCTGTTTCAAATAAACAAAAAGAAACTGTATATTTAGCTCATGATGAAGTATAGCTGACTGTTTTTGCTTTGAAAAGTGTTAGACTTGTGTTTCTCACATACCTTTTGTACTGTCAAGTTTTCCAGCAACTTTTTTTTCAGCCACATTCCAAATTATTACTAAATTATCTGCACTCGCACTCGCAAATAGATCATGGTTATGGGGACACCAAGAAATGGCTGTGATTGTCTTCTTGTGTTCAGACATAATTCCCCATAACTTGAATTGATTGTACCGATGATCTAACTAAAAGGAAAATAAAAATAAAAATAAAAATAAAGGTAAGTCATTTCAAACAACAGAGACAGATTGATTGGCATCCTAACAAAAACAACAACAACCTTCTGCTTTATCTCACTTGGAGGGACTCAGAGCACATTACAGTACACATATAAGCCAAACATTCAATGCCTTTTACACAATGAATAACAACATGCAATACGCAGATAAGGTAAAGGCCTTCCCCTTTTCATCTTTGGCGTCTGGAGGCGATGCTCAACTGCGGCCATGGGGAGGTGCTCTTGTTCCATTTTTCCATGCCGAGGAGCCTGCTGTCTGTAGGCATCTCTGATCTTTTTGCTGGCATGTCTACATGGGGTGCCCATTTACCTTCCCGCTGAGGTGGTACCTACAGTATTGATCTACTCACATTGCATGCTTTCGAACTGCTAGGTTGGCAGACACTAGAGTTGACAGTGAGGAGCTCACCTCGACTTGCAGTTTCAAACTGCTAACCCTCTGGCCAGCAGCTTTTCCTGCAGCTAATGGTTTTAACCACTGTGCTACTGCGGTCCCTCTGCATCTCTAAAATATTGCCTTCTCTCCACATCTCCTAATTAAATCATATACAAACCCTTGCTACTGTTAATTCTATAAAGCCCAATTGATGCACATTCAATTACATTCACATAGAGACAAGACAATATTATCGAAATAAAGACAGGTTTAATTTATGAATACTGTACAGTATATGTTAAAAATTATTAACTAGTTCACTACATTCTTAAATATTTTGTCTTTTGTTTGTTACTCTAGCAAATATTAAAAGCAAAACATGGTATGTATTTTTAAAGCAATATTGCCATCTTATGAGCAACTGAACCTGATCATAAGGCAAATTCAATTATACACTTTAATGGAGAAGGAAGGATCTTCCAATTCTCTTTCAGCAATCTATACATATCGAAAAGCTTGTCAGAATTGTCTGGGGGCCATACTGAGCAATGTAGGAAAGAATGGTGGGAAGGAGAAGAGATTTCCAAAACTGAATGTAAGTCTGCCCAATATGGGGCAATGCTACACTATCCTAATGGTTCATCCCACACTGTTTTAAAACATTTTTTTTCAGGAGTATAGGAGTTAAAATACATTGACACCCATGACACTGGTAACCTTGGAAGAAATGAGATGTGATCCAGAGAGATATCATACCTTGCTCTGAACGCACACAAAATTAGACATTAAGAATAGTCTGTTGGGAAACCCAACTGGGAAATACTATTTGCATAGATTATCCCTGCAGTGAGTTTAAAGAAAACTTTGGGTTGAGGCTCGTATGAATATGAAGTTGAAAGAGAAAATGGGATTGTGATACTCCACAGAATGACTGTGGATGCACTTCTGTTTGGAAATGCGTAAGTGCAGTGCAATGCAAATGTAAGCCCAAATGAATCCGCTGGATGAAATTTCTGAAGAATATGTAAATACAGACCCTTCTCCAAGGCTACTGATCTCACACAAAACCTCCACTGTATCAAACAAAATGACTTTCTGGCACTCATTACCATTTCTAGATGGAGAACAGCTTGAAGGAAGGCGAGTAAGCAAGCAAGAAAAGGAGAATATTCAAGAGGAATTCTGAAAATGTAATCTCACCTGATATATATAAATAGCAAGAGTCGCACAGTAGGCAAATCTATCCCCGCTAGCAGCACAGACATCTTTATTCCATGGCTGACACCCAGCAGCTAACAGTCCCACTTGCTTAACCTGTGCCATTTTTGCCTGTTAAATAAACAGAGAAACATGGTTAATATCAATAAGGCTGCAATTCCGTATCTCTTTCCCTTGAAGAAAACCATATTGGCATCATTGGGACTTACTTCTGAGTACACAGCATAGAACTGTGCAGGAAGTGAATGTAATACTGATGTTACAGATTACTATTTTAATAGAAGGCCATGTGTGTAAAACAAGGAGATGACAAAGAATAGGAATGGATATCATGCATCATTCCAAATGTTCTTCTACTACAACTCCAATATCCTCCACTATTTGGAATGCAGGCTAAGGATGCTGGGAGTTGCGATTCAATAACATCTGAAGGACTGCATTTCCTTGCCTTAAGGAAAACCTGTAATTAAGATTCTGTCTAAGCAATGGGTCTTTCATTCAGCAGATAAAATAATCAATAATAAGTTAGAGACTTACATATTGAATAAACATGAGTCACAATCATTGTACAGGTCCAATCTGTCAAGGACAGCTCTTATAGATGCTACAGTCATTCATTGTATTTCATAGGTTTTTGAACCTGGGACAATTGGTACAATTTTCTGTATATATCACTAAAATAATACTCATTTTATTATATTCCTTCCAAATTGCACCACAAATGAATAATATGCACGCTGCAGAGGTGTGGTTCTAACCGATGACCCCGAGGTAGAAGTTAAATTGATATAATTCTGGTGAAGTACTTAAATAAAGAAAATCCCACACCCTTATTTAAGAGTGAAACATGTGTGGATGTATATATACATACAACAGAACCTCTTACAGTTGCTTCCTATTTGTATTCCGTTCTTTTCCTACATTAATTATTAGGTGATTTGGAGTCTTTGACACCAAACGATGACTAAAGGTGATGATTTCTGAGGTTCTTGTCCGATTCAAAACAAACTATTCCTAAACTACTACTAAACTGTGTCTACATTTCTCATCCGCCCACACGTGTAAAGGCAGAAATCTGTGCCAGACATATAAGAAAAAGAACCAAATTCACAGCAGAGAGAAGGATAAACAAAGCCTAGAGAAAATCTTAAAACACATATTTAATTGGTGTAGCTTGTTAAAAGTCCTGAAAATGTTCAGTTCTTGAGCACTTTTGTAGCCTCCATTGTAAGCACGGAGAACAAAAAAAACCCTAGGCTGATCTGCATTGATTTACCATGACATTTCTGTGATCTTTCCTTCAAAAATAAAGTTTTGAAAGAGGAAGTTAGGTAGATAACATCCATGAAAATATGTATGTGTGCCACTGTGTCCACTTACACAGAACAGCTCCTGTCTCCACAAACAGCTATAGCTCCCACTACTCAGGAGACACCAAAGGTCTTTCTTTCAATGACATTACAATTTATAGTGAGCTCCATGAACATGTAAGTGTAAGACCCAGGCATGTAGCTGGGGGGGGGGGGGGGGCTGGGGCTCAGCCCCCCCCCCCGAAAATCTCATGGTGGTTCGCGAAAAGGCCTTACTGGTGCATTATTTAAACTGTTATGTTTATTCATATCATGATCTGATCACCATACTCAATATATCCCATATGCATGGGGGTATTGGGGTAATGATACAAAAGGTTTGCTAGGTAGACCCTCTTTCACTCAGACTCAGCCCTCCCAAATCAAAATCCGAACCCCCCCCCCCTGAAAAAATTTCACCCCCCCCCCCCCCCCCGAAACGAAAACCTGGCTACGGGCCTGGCAAGACCCCCCTGCCAATGTCTTCCACAAACATCCCCCAAGTGAAGGCTTTAATACGGGTACAGTTTCATTCTAGATTTTATGTGTTTCCTCCACCACAGACATCCCGGTGTTTCTTACTCTTTCCATTGGTGTGGAACTTGCATGACCCACTGCCTCTCCCTTAACCCTCTCCTGTTCCTTTCTATGATACACAACAAACAGAGGAATTGATCAGCAACTGAACATCCTAGAGATTTGGGGAGAATTCACCATGATTTATAGGAGTTGTTGGTACTGGGATGTATAGTTCACCTGCAATCCAATGAGGGACCTGGAACAAACTTGGCACACAGAACCCCCATGGAGGGATTTATAGGAGTTGCAATTCACCTACATCCAGAGTGCACTGTGAACCCAAACAATTATGGATCTGGACCAAACTGGGCATGCATACCCGATATGCCCACATTTGAATACTGCTAGGTTTTGTGAGGAAATGACTTGGACATTTTGGAGCTGTAGGTACTGGGATTTATAGTTCACCTGCAAACAAGGACCACTCTGACCTCCACCAAAGATGGAATTGGACCAAACTTGGCACACAGAGTCCCCATAACCAGCAAAAAATACTGGAGGTCTTCGGGGGAAAATTCAGCTTGACTTGGTGGAGTTGTAGTTCACCTACATCCAGAGAGTACTGTGAAGCCAAACACCGATGGATCTGGACCAAACTTGGCACGCATACCTGATATGCCAAAATTTGATTACTGGGAGTGGGGTGGGGGATTGGGAGGGGGAATTGATGACCTTCTTTTCTGGGAGTTGTAGTTCACTCACAACCAAAGAAACTGTGACCTCCAACAATGATGGACCTGGACAAAACTTGGCACATAGAACCCCCATGACTAAATCAACCTACCGGAGGGTTTGAGGGGACTGACTCACCATAGTGGGAGTTGTAGTTTACCCTATAGCCAGAGAACACACTGAACCCCACCGATGATGCATCTAGAGCAAACTTGCTCAACATAGCAAACTTTAAGTACTGATGGAGTTTTTCGGGATTAACCTGGCATGATGTGAGTTATAATTCACCTACAACCTTATGCATTTTGTATAATTAAAAAAAACCTGTACAGTTAAAAAACTGCTTTTTTCAAATAACCCAGGCAATGCCAGGTACTCAAGGTATATTTAAATAAATAAAGGTGGCGGTGTTGAGGAGTTATCCATCTCTCCGTTGCCATGGACCGACCACCACCTGGTCAGCTTTAGACTCACTGCACCCCCTAACCTCCGCAGAGGTGGAGGACCCATTAAGTTGGTCCGCCCCAGGAGGCTTATGGATCCGGATGGATTCCTGACGGCTCTTGGGGAATTTCCCGCCTCCTCGGTTGGTGATCCTGTCGATGCCCTGGTCGCTCTCTGGAATGGGGAGATGACTAGGGCAATAGACACGATCGCCCCAGAACGTCCCCTCTCGAGTAGCCGAGCTAAACCAGCTCCTTGGTTTACTGAGGAGCTGGCAGCGTTGAAGCGAAAGAAGAGGGTACTAGAGAGCGTGTGGCGTTCGGATCCGAGCGAGCCAAATCGAACACGGTTTGTGTCCTTTCTAAGGGCATACGCCGCGGCAATAAAAGCCGCAAAGAAGACCTTCTTTGCGGCCACTATTGCGTCTGCAAAGAACCGTCCGGCAGAACTGTTCCGAGTTGTCAGAGGCCTGTTAAAGCCCACCATGCAGGATGGGTGCCCTGATGACTCGGCAGCTCGCTGTGAAGCCTTTGCTCAGTTCTTTGCAGACAAAGTCGCTTTGATCCGCTCTGGTCTGGATACCATATTAACGGCAGTCTCTGAGGATGTAACACGAGCATCTGCTTGTCCGGTTTTATGATTCATTTCAATTGGTTCAATCCGAGGATGTGGACAAGGTGCTTGGAGGAATGAGAGCTACCACATGCATCCTAGGCCCCTGCCCATCCTGGCTTCTGAAGGAGGCCAGAGGGGGATTGGCCGAGTGGGTGAAGGTGGTGGTTAATGCCTCCCTTCGGGAAGGCAAAATTCCAGCCAGCTTAAAGCAAGCTATGATAAAACCGCTGTTGAAAAAACCATCACTGGACCCCACTCAATTCATCAACTATCGGCCTGTTTCCAATCTCCCCTTTTTGGGCAAAGTCATGGAACGTGTGGTGGCCTCACAACTCCAGGCATTCTTGGTAGACACGGATTATCTGGACCCGGCACAGTCTGGCTTTAGGCCGGGGCATGGTACCGAGACAGCCTTGGTCGCCTTAGTGGATGATCTGCGTCGGGAGCTCGACAGGGGGAGTGTGTCCCTGTTGGTGCTGCTGGACCTCTCAGCGGCCTTCGATACCGTCGACCACGGTATCCTTCTGGGACGCCTCGCGGGAATGGGTCTTGGAGGAACTGTTCTACAGTGGCTCCGCTCATTCCTCGAGGGTCGGTCTCAGAAGGTGTTATTGGGAGACTCCTGCTCAACCCCACAACCTTTGTCTTGTGGGGTTCCTCAGGGTTCAATATTATCTCCCATGTTGTTCAACATCTACATGAAGCCGCTGGGTGAGATCATCCGGAGTTTCGGGGTGCGATGTCATTTGTACGCAGATGATGTTCAACTCTGTCACTCCTTCCCACCTGTCACTAAGGAGGCTGTCGAGGTCCTGAACTGGTGCTTGGCCGCTGTGACGGTCTGGATGGGGGCGAACAAATTGAAATTGAATCCAGACAAGACAGAGGTACTCCTGGTCAGTCGCAAGGCCGAACAGGGTATAGGGTTACAGCCTGTGTTGGATGGGGTCGCACTCCCCCTGAAGACGCAGGTTCGCAGTTTGGGTGTGATCCTGGACTCATCGCTGAGCCTGGAACCCCAGGTTTCGGCGGTGACCAAGGGAGCATTCGCACAGTTAAAACTTGTGCGCCAACTGCGACCGTACCTTGGGAAGTCTGACTTGGCCACGGTAGTCCACGCTCTGGTTACATCCCGTTTAGACTACTGCAACGCTCTCTACGTGGGGTTGCCTTTGAAGACGGCTCGGAAGCTCCAATTAGTCCAACGGTCGGCAGCCATGATACTAACTGGAGCGGAGCGCAGGGAGCGCACAACTCCTTTGCTGCACCAGCTCCACTGGCTGCCGATTTGCTACCGGGCTCAATTCAAAGTGCTGGCGTTGGCCTTTAAAGCCCTAAACGGTTCTGGCCCAACCTACCTATCCGAACGTATCTCGGCCTATCAGCCCACCAGGACCCTAAGATCTTCTGGGGAGGCCTTGCTCTCTATCCCGCCTGCTTCACAGGTGCGGC